CCTCAAAGGGCCCCGCTTCAGTGCCAACCACTCCAGTCGCATGCGATGAGAATGCCATGGCTCCCCCTTGCGCTACTGGCGCTGTCGCCTTCGCTGGGGAGGGCGCAAATCACATGGGCGCCCCAGCCCATGTCCCTCTCAGCGGCTTGTCGTGGGCGAAGGTTTTGACACGGAGCTTCGGTGGGTCGGTCGAATTTGTCTGAAGCGTGGTACCCCGTGTTTTTTGGTGTAAAAAGGGAGACCTTACAGTAACACCAAAGCTATTTTGAGGGGTTCCCCCCAAAGGACACACGCAGTAGGTCCCCCAGTAGTGCCCTTTTACCCTTTTTTTGGGGGAGGGTTCCCCTACTAAAATAGACAACACCGAAAAAAAAGAAAAGAAAAGTGGGTGCCCTTATTCTAACCTCTCTACTGGAGGACCTAGTCCAAGTACTTGGATCTTCGAGCTGCTTAGTACTTAGGTTATGGGCGCCCAAAGAGAGCACCCTGATCTACCCCGACCCTTGACTCTCACTGGAAGCCTTAGACACATTTCGGGGAAACACCGCAGCCCTCCAACCCTCAGTTTAAAAAAAAAAGAAAAGTTTTTCACAAACCAGGTGATCAACCTCGCGCAGGCAACCCCCCTCCAAGGGCCCCCACCCCTCTCAAACATACCAAGCTGTCCCTTTCCTGATTTCAAGGCCAACCTTTGCTTGCCCCTGCAAAGCTTGCCGTCTCAAGTTATTTGGGGGTGGGGGTCCCACCAGTGCCTCTCCAAAATTGTTTTGTTCGACCCTGAAGGGGGGAGGGCGCCCCCTAATCAGGGGTGACCGTTACTAGGAAGTAGGTTTTTGTTTGTTTCCTGGGCTTCTCAGTCAGCAGCTTGGGTTGTGTCCCTCAGTAGTGCCCTTCCCCCCCCTTTTTGGGGGGGGGGAGGGTTCCCCTACTAAAATATACAAAAAAGAAAAGAGTTGGTACCCTTATTCTAACCTCTATACTGGAGGACCTAGTTGATGGTATTTTCCAGGCTTACGAATATATAACGCCCAAAGCCACGGACCAATTCTGAGGCTCTGAGGCTAGTTGCCATGGGCCCAAAGGTTTTGGAGTGAACGAGAGTTCTCGCTTCTCAGGGAACTAGTATCACATCAGATGCCTTACGCAGCACACATAGACAACACATATCCACGAAAAGAAACGGAGGAGAATAGGAATGACGCAGCATCACAGTAATATGCGCACCTGTGTTGAAGCAAGACGCTAACACCTTTTTCACTGGTAGTAGTAGTTTTGGGGTCACGGTTTGCGATCGCCATGGCTTGCAATGGCTCGCCCTTGGACAGCTGCGTTCCTGCTGTTGAGGTGCTGGACGTGGCGTGTGTGTTGGTTCGCGGGGTGCTTTCGCTTGACGAGCAGGAGACGTTGTGCAGGTACATCGAGGAGAGGGACCGGACGCCCGCGGAAAAGCCCAGAGCAATGGTGTCTGGACCACAGACCCTGATTTTGGGCGAAGACGGAAATCCACAAGTCAAACACGTCCGTGGTCGGGACGACCCAACAGTCGTGAGTCTGATGGTTGAGAAGACAAGCGGTATTTTGAAACAGCATCGACTATTGGACCCAGCAGCATGCCCCATGGTTTTGAGTGGTAAGCTCGATATTTCTGACTATGCTTCCTTATCCATGGCGACAATTCGCTACGAAGCTCCTCACGGTCGCTTTCCGCCACACATCGACCACTGCAAAGACAGCTTCGTCTTCTTGGCAAGCCTGGGGCGAACTGCGAATTTCATGGTGAAGGGTCCGTCAATGGAGACACAAACAGTTCTTAAGTTTTGCAGCGGTGACGTGTTGGTGTTCGATGCGAGCACTGAAGCCGGTGTGCTCCATTCTTGCATTAGTATCGATGAGTCTGCAAGTGAAATAGGCGAGCACCTGGCGAACAGGTGCCCTAATCTGCAAAAGCACCGATACGGCGTGCAATGCAGGATGTTCTTCAATTGAGCCACGTCCTCAACAACCGGGTAGATGATGCGGTTAGTAAGGGGCAGTCCCAGCCAGAAATAGTTGCGGCCGCATGCGGCCGCCTTCTTAAGTCTTGAAGCACGGTTCTGGGGATCGAGCATTTTAGTAGCGGGTTTTGATTGTGACTCACTTGTTGCCAGCGAAGTCTTCTTTCGTGAGCGAGCTTCGGACTGGAATTAGCAGGTTGGCGGCTGGCCGAGGGGGATCGTTGATCGCGTGAAGTAGACCATCTGCTTGCTGAGCATGCCCAGCCTTTACTAGGTCCCCCAGCTAGCTGCCCTTTCACCGTTTCTTTTTTGGGGGAGGGTTCCCCTAAATAGACGACAGAAAATTTCTTTATTCTATCCCCCTCTACTGGAAGGCCTAGTTGATCCATTCTGCTTGCTGGCAAATGGAACATCAATGCTTTGGTGCATTTTGCCAAGGGCTGTTCGGACTTCAACTTTTTGCCAACTACTGGGGATTTCCGTATTAAACCACTAAAAGTTACTCACTTTCAGCAGGGCTTTGCAGGTTTCGCCACCGAGAATGGTGAAGCTTGAACTGTATTCGCTGGAAGAGCTGCAGAGCTGAAGAGAACGTCTATCCTGCGAGTCGGAACACATTGGCACGGAGTGACTCGCTCGTGTCGGTTTCGAATATGTGGTCCTTCCATTTGGTTTCGTAATATGTGTTCTATTTTCCCTGTTGGTGTCAAAGGGAATCTATCACCTACTGGGAATATGTTTTTAATTTTTTACCCAGGGGACTTAAGCAAATGGAGGGCTAGATGCCAAATATGTACAGAGTACCCGCATTGCTACAACACGCACACGTGTTGATGAACATGAGGATCAACATGTCGCATGTTGAACATGAGGATGATAAGACCAGGGACTTCTGCTTCTGACCCCAGAAGAATCTGCTGATTTGTTTATGCTTCAAGCAAAGATAGTAGTCTTAATCTCTCAATCACATATGAATCAGTTGTTCCTTTTCTACGGAAGAAAGCTTAGTCTGAAGTACGATTTTAGGAGTGGGATGAATATTACCATTCTTCTTGTTTGAGTCATGTTGTCGGAATAAGGCTGTGGCTCCAAACATTGTACGAAATTGGCACCTTGGTAAATGGAACCAAAGCCTGACACCGGCGCAACCCTAGCTCAGTTGCTTCTGTCCTACAAAGAAAAGTATTATAAGTACGACGTCCGAATTAAGATTAAGACTACCATGACTTCTTTTTGTAGTCATACTGTTGGCATAAATAGCAGGGGAGCTGAACAAAAGACAAGTTGGAGAAGGCATGGGCGCGCTCTGAGGACAGCGATGACTTCGCCAACCAGCAGCGGCTCTACGAGTTGCTGCGGCAAGCGTATTTCACGGACGGGCTAGGGCTCAAGGTTCCATAGGGTTGCATAGGATAGGGTTTCTTAGGGTTTCACGTTCCGGAGGGTTCCATCATAAGGTTCCTTAGGGTTCCACAGGGTGCCTCAGGGTTCCATTGGGTGCGCTAGGGTTCCTGAAGAGTTTCTTCGGGTTGCTTGCAGAGCCTTCGGGACCCCCCCCCTATCCCACTTGCCGGGAATCTGCAAAATGCGGGTGTTTCCGTGAAACAGGGTACCACCCTTTTTCGTGGTTTTAGCGGTACACCAATTTTGGAGAACGACACAGCCAGGTTGTCTTTTCTGGGCTGCAGAACCCCAATTTGCGGGGGCTGGTTCTACCCGAATGGTTTTGGATGGCGCAATTCCCTTGATTGCAAGTCGAAGGGATCCTAAACTCAACACGGAAGGAGTTCCGCCGATTTGCGCCCAGCTGCAGGTCATATGGGTCGCACTCACCACATGGAGCCTTGTGAAATGCATCTTTTGGTTCCTCAGCCAATTCCCAGCTTTGGGGGCGCGTTTCTTGACATTTGCACCGTGGAAACTCCAGGGTTGCCCATCAAAATATCCATTGCTACTGGGGATGTTAGCTGCACTCACGCAAAAAATGGGAGTGAATGCGAGAAAATGAACATGAATATTTTTCTCACGGATCCCTGGATTCAACTGGTTGAGGTACCTCTTTGGCTTGAGTTGGGGATTCGACCCCCTGGTGCTTGTAGAGGGGACCAGCAATCAGAGCGGGAAGCTGAGATCGACATCTTCCCAACTCCGAACCTGATATTTTCCAGCCACGTGCTTTCCGGGCTCGCAAGGAAGCAAAAAAAACAGCAGAAATGCGTTGCAACCCACAAACACCAGAAGTGTGGGCGATTTCTTCCGGGATAATTTTTGGAGATGGCTTCTTAGAATGGTCTCACTTGCCATAATGTCAGCTGATGAAGGAATTAACCCCCTTCACGTGTCATTGAGGGGGCTCTCTGTTTGGTGGGGCTTCCTTTCTAGGATCGGGACCCCTGATTTTCCAAACGGGGTTTGTCCTTTTGTACGGGCACCCCAAACTTGATTTCCGTGTTCCTCTTGGTTTTCCCAAGAAAGGGGTCCCCGCTCCAGAAAAAAAGCACGACGAGCCGCCAACACAAAAACGAGCGGACTCTTCTTGCACCGCGCCGGCGCTGGGGCGCGCCAAAGGGCCTAGATCCCCCAGTAGTCCCCTTGTACCAACCTTTGTGGGGGAGGGTTCCCCTACTAAAATAGACAAAACAAGAAAACAGTTGGGCTCCTTGATTCGAACCTCTCAAATCTGGAGGACCTAGGGGCGGTTTGCAGGACTATGAGGCGGCGCGGCCGAGTCACCGACTGCAGCACGTTTTGTCGGAGGAGCTCAGTGACTTCTACCGCAAGGCGCGGCGGCTCCGGGGCCATCTGAGGTGCCGACGGCTTTGGGGCCTGGAGCACTTGCTTTAGTTTGGGGGATAGCTTGGGTAGTTTTTCGATCCCCCCCAGTTTCGGGTGCTGCTTTTGAGGAAGCCGCCTTGCCAAGTTTCGTTGGGCCTCAGTTTTTCTTTTTTTTTTGGGGGGGGGGGATGTGTTTCAAATGAAAAAACAAAAAAACATAGGCAGGCGGCCTTTAAGGTTTTTGCTCTCGTTGCCTAAAGAACCGAGACACCTCTTCCAGGACTTATGGGCCGAGGGTCTCAGCGCTCCTTGCAAATTGGAGAAGAAATCACGGTGCAGGATCTCCCCAAGAGTTTCAGGGTGTCCTGCAGATGTTTTTTGTTTTTTTAAGTTTCAGGGTGTCCTGCAGATTTTTTTTGTTTGTGAAGTTTCAGGGTGTCCTGCAGATGTTTTTTGTTTTTTTAAGTTTCAGGGTGTCCTGCAGATTTTTTTTGTATTGGAAGTGTCAATCAGGTGTCGCTCAGATTTTTTTTCGTTTTCCTTTTTTTTTAAGTTTAGGGTGTCCTTCAGATGTTTTTTGTTTTTAAAGTTTCAGGGTGTCCTGCAAATTTTTTTGTTTTTTTTAAGTTTCAGGGGTCCCTGCAGATGTTTTTTGTTTTTTAATAAGTTTCAGGGTGTCCTGCTGATGTTGTTTATGTTTTTTAAGGTTTCAGGTGTCCTGCAGATGTTTTTTGTTTTTTAAGTTTCAGGGTGTCCTGCAGATGTTTTTTGTTTTTTAAGTTTCAGGGTGTCCTGCAGATGTTTTTTGTTTTTTTTTAAGTTTCAGGGTGTCCTGCAGATTTTTTTTGTTTGTGAAGTTTCAGGGTGTCCTGCAGATGTTTCTTGTTTTTTTTAAGTTTCAGGGTGTCCTGCAGATTTTTTTTGTTTGTGAAGTTTCAGGGTGTCCTGCAGATGTTTTTTGTTTTTTTAAGTTTCAGGGTGTCCTGCAGATTTTTTTTGT